GTAACCCACGTACGCGTACACCGGGCTATTTATTTCTCGCAATCTGTGGCGACGCGGAAAAAAAAAAAGGAAAAAAAAATAACGCAGCCGGGCCGCATGGCATCGGCGAACGCGAGCCGAGAGACAAATCCGTGACGTGGTCACGCGACCACCGCAGCGTGATTAAATTACATTGCCTATTTGAAAGATAAGGAGAACCCCGTTATCGAACTTATTTATCGGACCGGGCGAGGTTTACGGCTAGGCTGTTCGAGAGAGACCGTTGCGGCACCTCGTCGTTGCACCCTGTGCCATTTAATTCCCTGATTTACACTAAATACGCACGTGAGCCAGCGCGATAATTAACCGCGGCCTGAAAAGAACAGCTTGTATTCATTTTTCCTGGTCGCTCGCGCCTGCGGCTGATTAGCCTGGCAAATTCCTTCGCTGCACGGATTAATTCGATCCACGCGAGGGAATTTTACTTTCAGTCGCACGGGGGGGTGGTTCAGGCTCGAGAGGAAGAGAAATCGAGCTGGATAATTCCTCGGCGGGAATTTGGCACGACGCGATGGGTGTCGGGACCACGCGATGATCCACCGTGAAACGACTTTACGGAGATCCGTTTAAAAGCCCAGGTATACCACCTTCGCGCTTTCTTCTCTCGTCTCGTATTTCTCCAGAATAATATATTTTTCCGTCTCACGGCTACGCCTCTTCCGCTCGATTCAACCGCCACGTCGTGCAGTGGTTACCTCGTCGACCGTGTGCTCTATACGTATCGCGAACACTCCATTTAATTCGTTCTGCAGTTGGACGACGACTGAGCCGAGAAGCAGCGAGTCGCGAAAGCTCGAAATAAGATCACAACTCTCGGGTAAACGATCGTTCCCCGCGAGAGGGACAGGCCGATCTAAATATTCAGATCGTCGACGGCGAGGAAAGCTGGAATCCCCCCTCGGACTCTTTCTGCTTGGAAATTGCCTTGAAATGCGGATAGAATCGGGCCGACACCGCACCCGGAGTCCCTTAAATACCTTAATCTGGCCAATGTGATTCGCGTGCAAATGCTTTCGGCCGAGGTATAGCGGTAACCGTTGTCCAATTGGGAATTTCGGACGAAAGTAATTTCGATCTTCGACACGCGACACCGACCGAGACTAACGTCGTTCTGTAGACACGAGAAATCGCGTACGTCGCGGCAGGATAAACATCGGAGGCAACACGACGCGCCTTACTCGAGAATTGCTTTGTGCTCCAAACGAGTACGGGATTGAAGATCATCCAGCGTTTAGATAACTATCACCGGGACCCTGTCGTGCCTCGGGAAACGCACAGTAGCGTCAACGTTTCACTCGCAAGCAAGACACGTACGTAGCTTACCTCGAATTACGATAGGTCTCGCGGAGTTAACTTCGTCAACCTGTGCTTGGACCGAGACTGTTTCCTTCTCGACTCCGAATCCACTCGACAACGGTTCGTTCCTTTCCCTCGAAAAAGGCTCGAAAAGACTCGGGTGATTTCGCTTTCAGACGAACGGTGGACACTTCTCCTTGGCCATCTCCCGACTAATTAAAGCGCTCGAATTAAGGACCAGCTTCGCGTGCTCGTCGATGATAATAGGGCACTTTTCGCGCGAGTATCCGCGACGAGATAACGCAATGGCGCAATATTCGCGAGTAGTCGAGGAAGAGGATGACCGTGTGGTCGGAAGACGAGTCACAGTCCGTGTCAAACAGCGGCGAGGACAGACGGCGGGTGCAATTACCAGAAGTCAGTGCAAGAGGAGAAAAAAGAGCGTGGTCGGTACGGGCAGGAGATCGACCGACGAATACGGCTTTTTCTCACCTGGCTGAAAACGAATGGGCAGCAATTTGTCGCACTTGCACTCGTCCATAAGTCATTGAAAATTGTCATTGCAATTTATCACCGACCCGCGGGAGTAATTTTATTTTCACCGGATGGAACTTCCAACGAGATCCGTCGTTATTTTCCATTAGACGCGATTTACCGGCGATAAGGAATGCTAACTGCGTTCAATCATTCTGGCAATTACGGTCATCTCGCCTTCGTCGAGTCACGAGCAAGTTTCTTTGTAAACTAGTGGAAATGTCGCCAATTTTGCTGTCCCGGTGAAATAACGTACGGTGTAAAATGTACGGTGGCGGTGATCGCCGCTCGTAAGACGGCCGGATATTCGAAATCGCGCGAATTACAAATACCGGCGATTTGAATAAAGGAATATATCAATTCGCGCAGCGGCGGCTTTGGTAAAGAGCATTCCGGTTTCCAACGGTGTGTTCGCAGTTGCTCGAAAATATTCCCGACAATTTCTCGAGATCAGGTTGCCAGCCGTAATTCAAACGAGAGATTCGATCCCGTATTTTCGAACGGAACGGGAAAGAAATTTCTATCTCCGTGAAATACGCGCATCGATGTACGCGGTATCATCATCCGCCATACTTCACGATCTATATACGGTCCTCTTGGTAACGCGAAGGAACATTTGTTTGCGTTATAGTCTGAATTTTATCAACGGAACACTCGAATAGATCATAACGTTGCATAGCTGTCGCGCGAGTATAAATATCGATGAGCTTCTGGAATAAAGACCGCTGTAGCGCGTGGATCGCGATAAATGAAAATACCGCGGGTAAATGGTTGGCGTCTGAAAGAAAATCCCCGCTCTTTACCGTCACCTAAAAGCTCCGCAACGAAATTCAACGTTTCCCGGTATTCCGTGAATACCGATGGCGCTATTCGTTCTCGCGGAACGCGAACCCCGAACCCCATCGCTCCCTTTAATTCGTCTTGTCTGTGCGACGGATCTAACGAGACTCTGGAATATAAGGTAGCGCACCGCGCGATAACCCGTTGGTGACATATTGCCGGAAAGTCGATGTTCGAAACCGGGCTGGGTAGAAGGCCAAGAGAGAGAGAGAGAGAGAGAGAGAGAGTGAGAGAGAGGGGGGGGGGGGGGGGGGGGGAGAGGAGAAAAGACAGAGAGG